CCCCCATACTTGAGATAATCACATGATGTTGGTGTTATTTTGTGTGGTTTGAAATGTTCTTTTGTAGTCTGTTGTCATATTTAATATTGGTGTAGGATTAAAAATTTATCCACATCACTATTATATTTGAAGCAAAGAGGAGCATTGATTGGACTGRCCAGGAAAATCTCCAGTAATCATATTAATTGTCAARTGCCAAAAAAATAATAGATTAAAGTTTTTCTGATGATGAATTGCACAGGATACGATTTTGCCCAGTTCTAGTACAGACTCAGATAGGCTCTGATCTGGGCTGTGGCTGTTATATACAGTAGGCCTTTCTCCACAGTTCCACATGGCTCTTCAGCACGGTTCAGGTGGTTTTCCATTACACTTCAGTAACAGCTCCAGTGGGTGGGTTCATTGTAAAGTTGGATGGTCCCAGAGTTGGAAAATTGATGCCACACGCTGGTGGTTATGCTCCATTAAGCTATTTGCCAGCCACCATTAAACATAGTAGAAGACCTGAAAAGATACACTAAACAACAATGGTTGTGTTGTTGTTGCAAATGGTGGATCTGGTTGTTGTTASAGTWGCTCTTGTGATGCAACCAGTGACTCAACCCACTAACCAATCAATGGCGTTGTGTTTTCAGTCCAGCACGGTATTGGAACCACAGTGAAGTAYGTTCTGAAAAACAAGCTGGTTCTACAAATCCTCACTAGTGGAAAAGCCTTGAAACCGTGGGGAGCCAAGGTGAACCGTGTGATAGAGGCACTAGTGGAAAAGGGTCATTAGATTGGTTGACCACACTCATGTGGACCTGCAGAGGCTTGCTCACTTGACCTTCTAAACACTTTTATAACCTTTAGTTAACCAGGCAAATCCCACTGACATCACAGATCTCCTTTTCAAAGGTCCTGAAGGTAGACTAACACAAGGAGAATAAAAACTCCACCTCAGGTCCAAACCAGGGATCCAACCCAGGACCAGCTGTGAGACATCAGCACTAACCACTGATCCATCCTGCTGTTGTTCAGAAGAATCTGTGTAACAAATTCTCTCTCAAAACAATCTGAGTTACTGCTGGTGTSTCTTGGTATATTTTTAATATTTCTCCAGCACTGATGGAGGAACAAGACGAGGAGCATCAGATGTTGCAGCCGGAGCTCAAACCGCTGCTCACCTCTCCAACACTTTTCAAATGTCCTTATTAACACAACAAACAAAGCTTTTACTGTCACAACTCAAATGTTACACAAGTCGTTTGATCATCAGAGTCCCAAAGCTATTTTAGTTTAAAAAACAAGTCAATCAGTTATTCAGAAAACATTCACGGCTCAACCCAAATCAGTTTAACTTTATTTATACAGCAGCATTTATACACAAAGTGGTTGAAAAATAAAACCTGGAGGGAAGGAGCTTGAGCTGTTAATGTTAAAAGAAGCAGAACATTAGCTAAAAACTAAAAGCAACAGAAAGTTGTCTAAAAGCTTAATGTAGCAAAAGGCTTGGTTAACGTTGCAACACACTAAATCTGAAAGTAGCAAAAGGCTAGCCAAGCATGGCAGAACAGGGACTAAATACTTAAAAGCTGAAAGTATTATTAAGCTAACTAAAACTAAAAGTAACAAAATGTAAGCTAAAAGCTAAATGCAACAAAGCCTAGGTGAAAGCTACTGTATAAGCAGCAGAATAATAGCTAAATGCTAAAAGTGTAATACAATTGAGCAAATATTTAAATAAGTTTAAAAGAACTACATTTGAAGGATTTATTAATAAATATATTTAAAAGTATCAAAGTAACAAAACACAATCACAGCACCCATCTCCTACATGAGCCTGTGTGATGACTCAATACAAAGTGTGCAGAAGTACTTAGACTGAAATAAAGGGAAGAAACAATAAAAACAGGAAATCATTTGTGTGAAGTTGATCAGTATTCACACAACTGCATCAAAATCTTTTTCAGTATATCGACACACTGATGCCATTAAAGAGTAAAAAACATTCTAACTAAAATGTGATGAGATGTTTGATATCAGTTTCTTCTTCCTCCTCAGATGAGGACCATCGGCTCATCAGTGCCTCTGGCTGTAGTAAGTACCAGCAGTTTGGACTTTTACAATCTGAGTGTGGTTTTTGGTGTTAAAAGTGTGGCTGGATCTGTGGCAGCTGGATGTAGGTTCTCGGACCTCGGAGCAGACCCCCCTCCCCACCATTCATCCTGATCTCATGAACATTTCCAACGCTCCTCTGAACACAGCTGAACCAGAGATTCTCAGAGGCCACATCCCAGCAGGACACATCCCCAAACCTGTGGTCATCGCTGACTACATTGCGTGAGTAAAACTTGTAATGCTCCTAAACACGCTACCCCTAAAGGTGTGGAAGAGGGAAACCCTTTGAGCGGGCTGTCGGTGTGGAGATGTGTCACTAACCAAGAGCACAGAACAAATCTACACTGACTGAAGATGTGTGATTTATTCTTTATTTTATTAGGAAGTCCCATTAAAGTTTAAAACCTCGTTCAAGAGAGGCCTGGTCAAGATGGCAGCAGCAAATACAACTGTTACATTTCACAGTAACACAACCAAACAGCAAATAAAGAAACATTAAATAATTAAAACAAATAAAGAASAGGTGAAGGTCATAGAGTTAGTCTCGAGTCCTTTCAGTTTGGATTTAAATAAACTTAGTTTCCAATCTTTCTGTAGTGTATTCCATGTAGAAGGTGCAGAATGGACAAAATTTTTTTTTTCCAATTCAGTCCAGGCAAATGGAACAGAAAGCATCAAACAGAACCAGAACCTCTCTGTTTGATAAGAARTATAAGAGGGAAGAACTCCACATAATGTATATGAATGTAAACCAATGGYAGAGCCTTCTGGTGGCCTGAGGCCCGTCTAAACTTGAGTACAACTCACAGAGATGAGTCATTGCCTTACAGTTTGTAATGAACCTCAAAGAGGCGAGATAACAGTGTCAATCATTTAAATGGTTACGATTGTTGCTAAAGTGTTGGTCCATCTTCCAAATCAGAAAGACGAGCTGGAGCTTCAGCCCTTCGTTGTGTTGTCCTTCAGCTCTGAGGAAYAGGATTACCTGATTCTTATTGTTAGATCTGCAGAGTCACTGACCCTTGGTCTGTCATTATAAAATAATGACCCMAAAATAAACACAACTAGAGAAACTACATTTCCTGTGAAAATTGAGTGTGACTGCCAACAAAAAGCTGAAATCAGTTGTAAAGTAGCTAAAAAAAGCTGAAACTAGCAGAAAAAAGATGAAATTTAGCTGAAAAGCAGAAAAATACTGTAATTAAAGCGAAAAGAGCACATTTGCTAAATTAAGCTGAAAACAACTGAAATGAACTCAAATGTGAATGTAACTAAAAAAAAGCTCAAATTAGCAGTAAAACAGCTAAACAGAACATGAACAGACAGAAAAAAATGAAATGAACAGAAAGCAGCTGAGAGGAGCTGAAAATAGCACAAACAAGCTGAAAAAATATAATTAGAAAACTGATAAAATGAGCAGTAAAAAGTAAAAAGAAACTATTCATGTTCAATGAGAAAAAAGGGGCCAGAAAATCTAAATATTTCAAAAAGTTAAAATWGCAGAAATACAAAAAGTCATAGTAGGTTCTGAATGAGCTGAATGGTTTRATATAAGAATGGTTAAAATAGCACAAAAATTGTGGAAAAAGTTACATCACGAAAAATGTATGGAAGACAAATGCACTTCAATAAAGTATTTTTAACAATACCACCTGTTCAGTAGACTCCTACATACAGTACTTCCACTCCTTGGATTGAGGCAAAGATTCAACCCTGATTTTTCATTTCCTGCTCTACAGCTGTGGTCTCAGATTAGGATAATGTATGCAGAACATCATGTGCTTTTGAAATCAATCCATCCATCCATCCATCCATCCATCCATCCATCCATCCATCCATGGTTGGTTTGTGGAGACAGGCATAAGATCCAGGAGGGAAACCCAGGCATCCTACTCTTTAGCAGCACTCTGCAGTTCCTCCTGAGGACCCAGAGATGTTCCCAAGCCAGAGAAGATATCATTTCTCCAAAAATGGATGGTGTCCTTCCAGGATGACATTCCTTCAAAGGGAGCCACCAAGGAGGCACACAGGTGCCTGAACCACCTCAGCTGACTCCTTTTGTTGAGGAGAAGTAGCAGCAGTTCTACTCACTGTCTTATTGATCTACTATTCTATTGTTCCAGGCTTGATCCACACTTCATGACCACAGGTCAGGGTCTGAATGTAGATGGAGCAGTAAATCAAAAGCTTTACCTTTCAGCTCAACTCCTTCTTCACCACAACAGAGTAAAGTAACGTCTTCATCACTATAGATGATTCATCTCCCACCTCATCCTACCAACATCCATGTACAAGACCTCCAGATATCTAAATATATCCTTTGACTGCAAAGCAGTCAAATTTGGAAAAATACATAAATAAAAAAGGTAACTGGTCTGAGTTGGTTCCCCATGAGACTGAAGTCTTGCAGTCCCCCTATTTTCAGTTGTTTGATGAAAGATTTTTGTCCGGTCAGGCAAACCCAAGGTGGACCACAGATTAGACAAGCTGTAATATGGAGGAAGTCTGGAGAGAACTGAAGTCCAAAGAAAACTGAAGTCCAGAGAGAACTGAAGTCCAGAGAGAACTGAAGTCTAAAGTCCAGAGAGAACTGAAGTCCAGAGAGAACTGAGGTCCAGAGAGAACTGAAGTCTAAAGTCCAGAGAGAACTGAAGTCCAGAGAGAACTGAGGTCCAGAGAGAACTGAAGTCTAAAGTCCAGAGAGAACTGAAGTCCAGAGAGAACTTCAGACACTGAATATAAAAAGACAGAGGCGAGTACAGGTGTAATAATTTTCAATAAAATTAAAAGCAAACAAAAACAGACTGTCTTGATGAGTGCGTACAGAAAAAAGATTAGAAAGTTTGAGCAGAGAACATATTTTTGCATTTGAAGATACTTGAGACAGAGTAGTGATGGTTCAGGTATCAGTCCCACATCATACTGTACCTGTGTCGAGGCCAGAAGTTAGAAGAAACACTGAAGTGACGTGATGGACAGCTGCTGCCTCTGCATGGAGCTAAGAGGAAGTGATTCTTGTGCATGAGGAACAAACTCTACAATTTAAACACGATTCCCTCTGAACCTGAGGGATTTACATTTAGCTGCAAGAGAACCTATACACCCTGCCAGCGGCCAGTCTAGGGTTTGAGGGGACTCATATACATAATGTTGTCACTGTTGGTTGAGGGAGACCACAAGGAACCTGAAAATATCATCCCAATAAATCAGGGAGGTGGTCTGGTTTTGTTCATAGATGGCATGATGTCTTTAATTGTTCAGCTTTGCTTCCCTGCCTGGACACAGCTCCTTACAGAGACGTCTGGGAGGAGGAAAGACATCTTCTTGAAGGAAGACATTTTGCCCAGTTTATTTGATCTTAATTTCCTCAAACAACAGTCAGCCCCACCATCTACGTAGTTGTCATTATTATTATTTGTTATGACCCGGCTCAGCCAGGAAAAGGGGAAGTCACATTAAAGCCAGATGCAGATTTGTTTAAAGATGTAAATTGATTTATTGTGGCCAGCTTCGAAATAAACAAACTAAATTTGAACAAAAAGAGGGAACTCCCAAAAGTATAAATTACCAATGAGTAAATAACAAAACAAAACGTATACCAAGAACAAGTATTGCTGCACCAGCTTAAGAAAACAAAATTACACTACTTTGAATAGTGAACCACAGTAGCTGGAACATGAAATAAAACAGTTATCCGTCCGTCCATCCATTTTCTTCCTCTTATCTGGGGTCGAGTCGTGGGTGCAGCAGCCTAAGCAGAGAGACCCAGACTTCCCTCTCTCCAGCCACTTGTGTCCGCAGTCCTGTTCTTTTGGTCAATACCCAAAGCTCGTGAACAAAGATGAGGGTAGGAACGTAGACCGACCCATAAATCGAGAGCTTCGCCTTCTGGCTCAGCTCCCTCTTCACCACGACAGACCGGTACAGCGCCCACATCACTGCAGACGCARCACCAATCCACCTGTTGCTCTGCCGCTCCATTCTTCCCTCATTCGTGAACAAGACTCCAAGATAAAACACTTCTGTTAAGCAAAATAGGCAAAGCTTTGAGCCTTAAACCCAAGAAAACTATTCAAACAACAAAAACAAAGCCTCCAAGTAAGCTTTTGAGTCTCTGCTCTCAGTAACCCACACAGTTTGTTTAACAAAGAACACAAAAACAGACTTCAAGTTTAACCCTCTGGTCACAAAATTAGACCTGGCAGAAATACTAAACGTTTACTTCATAAGACCCTCACACAAAACAGCTCAATCCAATCACAGACACCCTGATTTACAGAAGAGCAGAGCTTATGTAGAGGAGTGTCTTCTGTGACTGGAGGAGCAGAAGTCTAATAATCCAATCCGACTGTAGGGGAGGTCCACCACGAGGAGCCAGGAGAGACCAGCCAATCCCAGAGTTGACACAACACAGCAGGACCAGCAAATCATACACCTGCAACAGCACAGTCCTATGCAAAACAACTGGCCTCAGGCCATAGCACATCATCATTATTATTATTATTATTATTATTATTATTATTATTATTATTATTATTATTATTATTATTATTATCAAACAGCAATGTGATGTGTGGCATTTGAGTTACCGTGGAAACATAGTAAGCCAACAAAGACCCTAAGAAATCCAGTAGGAATGATTGGAGAGTACTCAAATTACTTTAAAATTACTTTAAAAGCTGAACTTTTGTTAACATATCTCATGAACCGCCCAACATAACTCGATGAAACTCTCACAATATCATCACTGGTTTGTCCTCTTTCATTGTCCAACATTTTTGTCCTGCTCAGATTCAAAATGACCGTCCAAGCCGGCCTGGGTTACAACAAAAACGCTCGAAATCAGCAATCAGCACATACTGAATGACGCTGTTGTGATGACTCTAGGACAATAACCCCCAGGACATTTACAACACTTTTCAACAGAACATGAACACAATTCAGGTTGTAATATAATTAATGTGTTCATGACGCTCTTATATTTTGATTATTGTTTCAAAACTCTTGGTTGACAGTACTAACTGTTGTAAGTGTCCGGAGGGTAAATGTCCTGATACCATTGTGACAGCAGCTGACGGGGATCTCTAGAACATATTATTATTTTCTATAGGAGTCTTCAGCTCAAACTTTTTACAAATTAAATAAAATTGATGAAAATGTCTGCTAGTAAAATATTTTATGATTCACCAGATGAATTTTAAAGA